TGTGCCCATTTTTCTATTGGATTATTTACCTTTATCTTGTTGTGGTGCTCAAGTATTTCATAAATTCTGGATATAAGTCCCTTATCTGATATGACCTAACTGCTTTTCAAACTTTGTAAAGGTCCCTGACAGCAGGCTTTCTAAATACTATGTGTCTCCACATCTCCTAAATCCTGGAACCACAATGTTCTAGCAAGCACCTCAAGTCCCCCTCACTTTCAGCAAGCAAGTTTGTGTTACCTAAATAACGCAAATCGTTGAAGAGTCTTCCTCCAATCCTGATGTTACACACTCTTCTTCATAAAGTCCAGCTTCTCTAATGACTTCATCTGTATACAGATTAAATAGGTACAGAGAAAAGATACGGCCCTGACACACGCCTTTCCCTGTTCCAAACCATGCAGTGTTCCCTTGTACTGTTTGGAATAATAATGCTTGACTTGATGATCTGGAACAACTATTTCACTGAGACAGTGCGATTGGCACAGGACAGAGCAGAGTTTAGGGCTGTTGTACATAGAGTTGCTATGAGTCGCAGACGACTCGACGGCACATAACAACAACAACAACAACATTTCACTGAGAACAACTTAAAAACTAGTCTTAATGTTAAACAATCATTGGGGTATATATAATCACCATAAAAAATGGCTATGACAAACTTACTTTGAAAAAAAAATAAGCTTAAAAGCCTTCAATAAACTATTGTGATATTAAGGAATGACCAGGATGCAAATAAGAAAAATAGGACTCCATTCAGATAAATGATTACAAATGTTTTTTTATCCCTGTGTGAATCTGTTGATAAGTCAAGCAAATCTGAAAATCCATTTTAATAGTCTAGAAGAGACAGAGACACTAAAGTAAAATTCTAGGACCACTCAGTGTAGGCAGTATAAATAAGAGTATTCACAATAAGTGGATGTCCATGACGGGTACTATCGACTTGACTGAGACTAATAGCAACCCTATGAACAACAGATACACTTTGTCCAAGACATATCTGTTTACTCTTTTGGCAGTTCATGCGATATTCAGTACTCTTCTCCAAAACACAACTTGTTCAACGCATAGAAAGTAACTGAAAAGATTATGACTTGGATCAGATGCCCTTTAGATCATGACTTGGGTAAGATGCACCTGAGAAGTCTTTGACAATGAACTGAGACCCTTAAATTCTATACCTTCAGGGTGAATGTGATTTATCAATTGTCAAGCCCTCACTAGTAATTGCAGCTTGAGTTTCAGTTACAAAACCTACTTACACTGGGAAGGAGCTTTGCTGTCAAACAAAAGGCATTCAGTTTTAATCCACCACGCGCTTCATAGGAGAAAGATGGGAAATCTCCTCTGTTGTGATTTACTGCCTCTGAAAACCCACCGGAGAGTCTGCTGTGAGTTTGTTCCAGCTCAGTGATACATAACGACAGAGGTCTCAAGCCTTGAACTTAATTAAAAGTTACATCAAACTGATAGTGACACTAGAGAAGACTTTATTTTTTAAAAAAAAAATTCATTGTTGCACATTTTCCTCCCTACGCCCCATTCAGTTTT